AACAACTTTAATCATCAGGTCAGCACAAAACAACAGTGCCCATCTAAAGCTCCTTCATGTAAACACTTCACACTTCATCGGGTTCGCATGGCTCTCGGTCCCATCCACATTCATCAGCGCTACCTAGCCGACCAATCACAGAGCTTGCATTTCTTGAGGGATGCACGTCAGCGTCGACAACGGCCACGGCGAGAGCTATGCATGCGTGTGCGCTTGACGCAGAAGTATAAATCAGCCTTTAGACTCATCGGAAAACAATAAAACCCTGTTTATTTCAGTTCTGTCTTTTTCTTCATTGTATTTATCAGGCATGTCATCAGCCGAGGAAAAAAAAAATAAGGGAGATGAGACCCCCCCCCTCCTCTTCTTTAAATACGAAAATATGAAAATTCACACCACATCCCTTATTTATCTATGTGTGTAGATTGTTTCTTATATTTTATGCAAATGCACTCCCCTACAGTATCATTATCACAGTCAAAATCTGAATCTGAAATGATAAATTCTTTAGAAATAAAGATATACAAGTCATGAGAGGAAATTGTATTCATATCGCAGTGTGTATTATGGAATAGCAAAATATCGCAATGTGAGATTTTTCCAATATCATGCAGCCCTAATCGTTTTTATTGTTTACTTTGTGGTGTCTCAAAAATACATTGTTTACTGTAATACTTTTTCAACATTTGTATGAGTGAAATATTGCCTACTAAAACCTTGAAATTACAATGTTTCGATTTTGCATTTTATTTAGCAATGATTTAAAATGTTTATGTTGCAATCACCTGCATTCATTAGTTTTTGAAAAGGGTTTTATATTTATTATTATTTAGTTTTTATTTCCACTTTTTTAATCAAACATTTTCCTTGATGTTCTAAATACTGTGAGAAATATGATCACTCATGAATGAGATTTCTGAGAAGGGCTGCACAATATATTGTTTAGATATAGAGATATTTAGATATCGCAATGTGCACATTGGCAAAAGTCACGTTGCAAGATGTGCAATGTTTAGTCTGAATTATAGTTGACCAGGAGATACAGAACACATCTGATTTGTAGTCACTGCTAAGTTTAACCCCAATTGAATGAAAGTTTATCATTTGAATGTGTTTTTAAGGCCTTTGACTGAGCATTTCAAGAGAGTTTGGGCACAAAAGTATGATGTTTAGCAATTTATACTTAACATTTTGTCTTGTTTCTAGTCTAAATATCTACATTTTAAAGGAATAATACGATTTTTATTAACCCATTTGTAGATCATTTAGCTTGTTTTAAGGAAAAACTCCTATTTTTGACATTGACATTTCTTCTGAAGGAGAAAACAAAACAATAGTTCTCTTGATCTATGAATTTTCAGATATTTGGACAAGAAACAAGATAAATCAGAGTAAGAAAAATATATCTTTTTTTGCATTGAGATTATTAAATTTTTGTACCTAAATATTGTTAGGATCCCAAAAAAAAGCCAAATAGAATAATTCAAACCATCTTTTGAAACTGTAGATATCGCAATATTTATTGCAGAAAAATAAAATATCGCAATATTAGATTTTTCCAATATCGTGCAGTCCTATTTCTGAGAATAAAAAGTAAAATAGAAATAGTCTTTTACATGTGGTCTACAAACTATTTATTGATTGAAATTACAGAAATAATACTATCGCTATTAGTATATGAGATGATATATTAATTTGAGCGTAATATTGCTTAATGAAACTTTGAAAGTACAATGTTTACATTTTGCATTTTATTTAGCCTTTTTATTTGTGATTATTTATGTATCATAGCTCTTTAGTTTTTGACATTTGTTTTCAAAAATGAAATGTTTTATTAATATTTATTTTATATTTCTACATTTCTACATATGAGATGATATATCAGTTCATGATATGAGATTTTTGTCACATCGACGAGCCCTATTATATGCACGTCCTTTTGATTAGAGCGAGTGTGTGTTTTTGTGTCTGTACATGTGTTGTTTGTAGTTTTAGGGGATTTCTGCGTTTGTTTTTGTCTGTCCATATGTGTATGTAGTTTTAGGGCATGTCTGTGTGTGTGTATTTGCATTTTTCTGGTGTGTGTTTGTGTGCGGTTAGCAGTAAAACGCTACTATGTTGCAATCATCTCCCCTTACAGACACATATTGATGCACTCACACTCATGCAAGCCTGAGTTAGTGAGAATGAATCATATATTCCCTGAATGTTGATCAGCACAATAAATTATCAACTCTAATAAACGAAGCAAGAGGCTTCCCTGTCCAATAAATCCCACTCTGCAGATTCAGCTCCATCTCTATCCAGGGCCATTTCTGACTCTGTTCTGCTGTTGCTTTAAAATTTGGAATTGCTTTATATTTTGAAATATGTTATTAAAAGGAAAAAAGGAATGGCGATAGTCCCTCCGGAGTGTTTTGTGGAGGATCTTGGCAGTGCGGAGGGCTATTTGAACCCAAGATTTTCCTCTCACGATTGTGAGGTCCAGGGAGATGCAGACTCTACTAAGAGTCTGTTTCTGAGAGGATTGTTTAAACACGTTTAGGCTTCTGCTGGTATAATTTTTCTTGTAAGGTTTTATCATGGTAAATGGTATTATCACAATATTAACCTAACCCTGCAGGCACAGGACTTCAACATCATATTGACGTTGTACCCCAACATTGTGGGGATGTTGGATTTTGTTTGGAAATGAAAATCGGATTGACGTCAGACCTTAACGTCAGGCCGATGTCTATGTCCAAAGTCCAACCTAAAATCAACTAAATATCAATGTCTAATCATGTTACTCCTTGACGTTGTGTTGACGTTATCACTATGACATCTATCAGATGTTGGATTTTGGTCACTTTCCAACTCAATCTAAAATAAACCTAAAAAAAAATGTCGTTATTGGACGTCAAAATAACTTTTTTCTTAGACGCTGGCTAGACATTAAATTTTGGTCACCTGATGTCATGACCTAAATCTAACCTAATATTAACGTCATATGATGTTGTGTGCCTGCTGGCAAGGTGCAAAATAGATTACTTTAACAGGTATGATAGCCAAAAAACCCTTAGCATATTGCTTTATTGTATATACATACTCAGAGTAATTAAATGTACTGAATCAACCAAATTAAATAGCAATTAAAATTATGATAAAGTAACACTTTACAGTTTTATTTGCACATTACAAAAGTTTTGACAGTAAATGTTTGTTAAGGCATTAAAATCAACAGAGAGAAATTGCCTTATTATATGTATATGTTATATGTTATATGTAGTTATATGTTTTAGTGCTGGGAAACAATTTATCAGGATTAATTGAATCCAAAATAAAAGTTTGTTTTGACATAATTTAAGTGTGTGTACTGTACAGAGATGTATAAATACTAGAGACCCAGACTTAAGTAAAAGTACAAGTGCTCTATTAAAAAAAGTGACTTGAGTAGAAGTTGAAGTGCTCTTTAAGCACCATACTTAAGTGGAAGTACTAAAGTTGTCAACATTTTTTTGTACTTAAGTATTTCAAATAGTTTATTCTAAAATTTACTACTCAAAAACTGAAAGTAAAAGTACAAGTATTGTCTTATGTAGTTAATAAAAAAAGCAGTCAAAAGACATCATATTAGTTTGTTTATTTTAAATAACTGCACGTGATTAAGCAGAACGAAAAAAGAACCATGGTTTATAACCCAATAAGCTAGCTAGTTAACGTTAAGTGAACATCGCAGCATGTTATGAACCGCGGGTAGCTAACGTTAGTTAACTTATCTAGTGCTTACGGATAGCTCAAACTGCTGTGTTTTGTGTGAGGCAGAGTATGCACTTCATTCTATATGAGTTGTCTTTCACTCTGACAAATGCAAACATGGACTCTGAATAGTGCCATGAGTGGTATTTTTCCTCATCACTACGAACAGTTGAAAGTGAAGGAGTTGAAGGTGGAATTTCTTGGTTTTCCATGTTGAAAACAAACTACAGTGCTTTCAATGCAGGCAGGCAGCGATGTCTTCTTTGATCATCTGAATGATGACGAGCCAGCTTCTTCAAACCTGTGACAGAGCCATCTGCTGCTCTAGCAGCGATAACGTGTGTTTGGAACGATTCGTAACATTTTTATAATTTTAACGAGTAACTATGCAGCACATAGAAAATCAGAGTAAAAGTATTAAAACTCAATGAAAATATGTACTGAAGTAAAAGTGGAAATAAGAGAAAAAACAATACTCCAGTAGAGTACAGATACTGCCTTTTAGTACTTAAGTACAGTAGTAAAGTAGTTCTACTTCGTTACTATACATCTCTAGTACTTTATATATTTATTACGTACATATTAATACAAACAGACATGCATACTTTTGGCAAAATGTTTGTTTATATTTAGATTTAAAACATGTGCATATGATACAAATTATATATGCATTTAAATATCTTTGTAACAAAACTGTTTTGTATGATTTCGTTTTTATGGATGTGTGCGTATAACATATAGATAATATATATTTATATATAACACACATATGTCATTTCAAAACAAACTTTCATTTTGGATGTCATTAATCACGAATAATCATTTCCCAGCACTTTTTTTTGTGTTGTTAGGCATTAGCTAAAAAATTAACATTAGCGAAGATTAATAAATGCTTTTGTACTTGTCAATACATTGAATTTAATTAAAGTAACTGATGTTAACAAATGTAGCCTTACTGTAGGGTTAACATTTTAAATGTTGTAGGCCAAAAATAAAACTGTTAATGTTTGAAATTAAATTGCTTATTAAGTATAATATCTTATTAAGTATGATATCTGATGAACAACCACTAATACAACAATCTGAATACTGTAAACCTTTTTAAAAATAACCTTCAAATAACCTTTAAATAATGTTCAAATAAATGCGCAAGATATCAATATTTTGCATTTTCATTATCCCAATATATTGATTCACAGAATATCAGCATATGTCTTAATGTGTTTGTGATTAGTTCTAACTTTGTATGCTTTGTGTTGCAGGTTTGTGTCTGGGAAGGGCTTAGTGATTTACCCGGAGATTGGTGACAAACTGGACATTATCTGCCCCAAAGGGGACATGGGGAGACCATATGAGTTTTATAAACTCTACCTGGTGAAGAAAGAGCAGGCCGAGTCCTGCAGCACCATACTGGACCCCAATGTTCTAGTGACCTGCAACAAACCAGAGAAAGACATCAAATTCACCATCAAGTTCCAGGAGTTCAGTCCAAACTACATGGGACTTGAATTTAAACGCTTCACAAACTATTACATCACCTGTAAGTAACCACAGACTTTGTTTAAATGTCTAACCTAGCTATATTTTTGGGAGTGGATTTACTGTGATTCATAAGCAGGGTAAACTTTGTTTTTGCTATCAAAAATATTAGTAAAACTATTACATTTAGGGGCAACACCTTTTGACAATGTGCATTTTAATACCTGAAGCCACATATATTGTAAAATGCTACATTTTAAGGGCTTCTGTGGTACAAAAAGACTACTGCTAAGTAAAAAAAGATGTTATACTCCTAACTGTATGTTTTGTATTGTAATACAATCTTAAAGTTATTTTACATCTTTTTTTTTTAGATGTTTTGTCTTTTTTATTATCTAACAAATGCATTTTAGGGCCTCGAAACACAAATCTTTGAAAAACGACTGCAATACCACACACAAGTATAGGTAAAATAAATGAAATAAAAACTAAATTTAATAAAAAATACAGTTAGAAAAATTGGATCAACTTAAATAACTTGTTAAACTAAAAAAAAATATTTTGCTACTTGTTTAAACCTACTAAAAATCAGTTGAATCAACACAATTATTACATTAAAAAATGTAACTGTATTATGTTCAATCAAGTAAAATTTTAAAAAACAAAGTTAACTTAATCAATTTGAGTTGGGGACAACATGAAAGAATTGTGTGGAACCCAACATTTTTTTACTGTGTACGCCTAAAATAATTATTTTCCCACTTAATTTATTGCTGAAAACGGTGATGAATTAGGTTATAAAAACTTAATTTGTCTAGGTTATAAAATTTGTAGATTTGTAGAAAGATTGTGCAAAAATACTTGACTGTTCTATTTATTTATTTATTTTATTTTATTTTATTACAGACACTGCACATTGCCAACTACTGACCTAGCATGCATAATACAGCTTTATTGGTTGTTTTCACAGATTCATATACAAGTGAATGGATTTGATGATTCTGTCGCCTGTACATTAAACTTCAAAAACACAAATTAGTACAGCGCTGTCATGTTATCATAGTCAAAATGGCACAGTTAAGATTTCTTTTGATAGAACTTTCAGTGAAGGACGATTTTCAAGCAACAAAACAGCATGACAGTTCAGTCCTGAAGAGCTGATTAATCATTCATTCAGAATTAAAGATTTCTTACACATTCAGCAGCATGAATACATGCTAAACCCGAACCATACAAGATAAAAACAGCAGGGAGCAGCATGGTAAATGTGACACACTCCTTTACACTAAAGCTCAGCATACTCACCCCCTTTACCCTGCTTTCTTTTTTTAACTGATTCCTCAAGGATGGGATGTGGGAAGGAGAGACACTTTCAGTCAGGCATGTCTCATTGGTTGTCTTGCCTCACTGAGTTTTTGGTCTCTTGGCCACGATGCCCAGACATGTCCCATAATCCACTTCACCTCTACTGACCCATCACCACAACTACACACCCAACAAGCAGCGGGACTGCCATTAGATCCAGTCAAACACACACACAGAGACTCCCTAGCAACCAGTTCCTTTATCTCGCTCTGGTAAACAGGATGAGTCTGGTTAAAATAATTTTGCTGAAATGTGTTTGTGTTCTGGGTTCAGTGGTTTCTGCTGTCTGGTCATCTTGTTTTCACTGGTCATCCGAGTTAATAACTCAGCGAGAGACTTTAGAGCATGACAGTTTCACACGCATCCATTCGCTCCTCAGAAAAAGCCCCTTGAGGAGCGCTTCTACAATGTGTGCTACTGGTATGTGACATTTACGTTGCTTACATGCAGCAAGTCCATGATCTGATTGTAGTTTGGCACCAGTATAGATGCTCTTTAATATATAACTCCCATTGTGTGTTAAATGCAAGCAAGATGTCTCTAGACATCTGAACTGACCACTAACTAGAATCTTTTATAAAACACATACAAGCTGGAGAATTGCACATTGAATTAATTAGGGGCCGAAGTTTCCCAAGTGGAAAAAAAAAAAACAGCCTGTGTTGTCTGTCTTTCTCACAGTGCGGCTGTATTACTTGTGGTTAACTTTTATGGTGTGTTTTAATTATTACACTTGCGTTATTTTTGTTAGCACCCATTGTGAATGAAATGCTCTGTGGTTCGCTAATGAATAGTTAGCATGTAGCTTGCTCTGATCGTGCTGTAGACTTCACCAGTGCTTTAAGTGTGTCACTCCAGGTGTTTTTTATCCATCCATGGGAATCTGCTTTTCTTCGCCGTCTCTATACTTGCCTTTTTCGGCTTGGTGTCAAGTTTCTTTCTCTCAACCTTTGTGCCGTTCCTGTAGCCTCAGTGTGTTGATTTCTGTGAAGCTGAGTATGTTTCCTTTTCCCGCAGAGCTCAACACTCACCATATTGTCATGCCACCCATGTTGTACCCCTAAAACGACTCCTTAAATCCGTTTTAGGAAGATCCCGTTGAGCATTTTTGATGCACTCAGGCCATTTACATATCAATTCACGCTATCTTTCAGGAAATATTATAGTTTTCATTCATTTCATTGACTGTGACTGCACACGTCCCTCAATATACTCTAGTCAGTATGAAGATTATATAATTCCCCTACAGAAGGTTCAGCGCACTGGCTCCAGAGGCCAATCCAGCCACTGAAATCTCCTCATTTCTTTCCTTTATCCGTGTAACTATTTGTCAGATCGTCTCCAGTCTGTCTGCAGAAGCTCTTTGAACCAAGCCGGGTCTATGCACTCACGTCTTTCCGTCTCAGCCTCCGAGCGATACATGTTAACTTTACCCTGTCGAAGTAGCACTCCAGACACACTGTGCTGTTTGTGAATCTTTAGTCAAGTTTTTCTATTGAGTATATTTCTTTAAAGAAGATAAAAACAAGCAAGAGGGTGTTAAGTTTCAGAAGATGTTTTCAGAGAATGCTGCATTCATTTAATTTCCTGTACCCCACTGGCATTTTTTTAATAAAATATGCTTAATCACGCATCTACCAAATCTGTTTATGCTTAAGGTTGAAAAGTGAGGGTAATGCTTAAAACATGAAAAAGAAAAAAATGAGTCATCGAGGTAAAATAAACTTGAAGATTATAATAAACTTGAAGATTAAAATGCTAACGCTAGCCTGATAGCACTGAAAGCCATCCAAAGCCTGATCGCATGAACACGCATTAGAGACCATCACTATAATACATCATGCAACATTCACAAAAGAGAACACTTTATAATATAGTAAGGCAAACTTTATTTATTTATTTATAGAGCACAATTCTGTACAACTGTAGTGGATCCAAAGTGCTGTACAATGAAATAAAATATTTAACAAAATAAAATAAAACTTGTATTAAAAATGTAAGAAAAGGAAATATATATGTATACATGTAATACTAAAATACAGATAAGAAATCACATGTGTGAGTCACTCAAAGGCAAGGGAGTAAAATAAGTTAACTTATATTTAAAAGTATCTAACTTTTACAATTGTATATAATTATATGTATAACTACAATACAATAGAGCAGCATGATATTGAAAAATGTAGCATTGCGATGTTTTTTTTTATTTTACGAAATATATTGTGATATAAATACAATTTCACCAATTGACTTAATATTTCCCTTTGCAAAGAATTTATAATGTTAGATCAATTGGTATGATTTTGCAGTGGGACTACATCCTCATAAAATCTAATTAACCATCTATAACCTTTTTTGGGTTGCCCGACACATTTTCGATGTGGTCTGTGCTATTTGCTGTGCACTTCTGTATTTGAATGTGTTGTGATTATTTTTATGTATAACAACCTATAAATACAAGATGGTATTCAAGTAAAGTAACTGAATAATAAAAATAAAAATATTTCGATAAATTTAATCTTTATTTAAGTAACAAATGGTACAATTTCTTATACCTGAATGCTTTTAAGGTCATTATACAATCACAGGCATTGAGAAGGTCACATTGCTATATCGATGCTGAAAAAGGATTTTGTACAGCCTTACTATACAAAACTTAAAAAAGAAAGTAAGTTGTTGATGTTTGCCTGCTATTTTTTTTAAACCGAGTCTATGAACACACAGATGATTTAAGAGGAGGAGGTAGCACATCAATTTAATGATTAATAAATAATTTAATGATTGCTATCAGTGTGGGAAGCATAACAAAACCAGCATAACAAAAATAGTTTCTGAAAACAAACGCTCATTGTACCTTTAAGTTGTTTGTATCATTTGTATAATTGTTTGTTCATATATATATATATATATATATATATATATATATATATATAATTATTATTATTTTTTTATTTGCAGCTGATGCCAAGTACCAATTCCTTGTCATGTGGATCAATTTTGATGGTTTAAGCTTTATAATGCAAAAAAGCAAATTTTCCCTCTAAGAATGATAGTTAAGTGGAGTTTTCTCCTTACCTACCTAACAAATTAAGGATGCAGGATATAATCACTTAAAAATGTCTATTATAACAATTTAGTGTGGACAGAATCAGAAGCAGTTTTACAGAAAATAATAGATAAAAAAAGTGGTAAGACATGATTAATAAAGCAATTTAGAAACATTGCAAATGATGGAAGAAGAATTCAACAGGTCTCAAAAGCTACGTTTCCCTCCACCTATTTTAATGCATATTTTTGCGCATAAAAGAAAATCTGTAGAAGGAAACGGCAAGATGCACATACATTTTGAAAATGGATAACATTTTTAGTCAATAAGAAAAGATGCACATAAACTATGATTCCAGTATGTGCTAATTCCAGTATGCGCATTAAAAAAGTCATATGATTTTGTTAGATGAGATCATGTGATGACAAAAATGTATGTGAATGGACAAACCAGCAGGCTTTCATTTTTAATGTTGCTATTTAGCTCCAGTTAATCAGAAAGTGACAATTTTGTTCTGTTTGACTTGTTGGATGGAAACGCTGCTTTATTCTCACGTATTTTATTTGATATACCAGTTTTGCTCATAAAATTAATTTGCATTTTTGGATGGAAACATAGCTACTGAAAAAAAAGTTTGAGCGCATAATTGA